GAATTTGATGAAGTGGGACTGCTGATTCGGCGCTGTATGGTGCAATGGCTTCGAGGGGAGGCTCATGACCTTTCAACGCCCGGCTTATTCCATTCCAATCTCTCAGGCCGGAGCCGGGTGTGCGACAACGGAGACGACCACAGGAGGAATCCTTGCTGCGTTTCTGCTTCACGGTCCGAGTGTTCTCGAGTCGAGATTCAGAGGGGGGATCATGTTCTATGTGTGACTAGATGGTTCACGCCATGCTGACTAGGCTGCCAACATGCTCTAGAAAGTGAAGAGAGTGCAAGGCTCCTCCTGGGAGTCAACCTCGAAGCACGCATCCTGGGGAGTGCTCGAGACGTTCAACTGAGCTAAGTTGCACTTGACAAGTGCAGAGGATCTTGCCACCCGGGACGCTCTGGAGCACCCAAGACAAGTACGGTCCAGGGTGGAACACGTTTGCAAGTCCTCCCCAGGAGGGAACGTGCTTTGTGGTTGACTTCCAGGTGGAGCATGCCATGCACCTCTTGATTTTCCAGAGTGTCCCGGACCTCGTTGCCCGTTTGTCAAAAGGGCGTAAGACGCTTCGAAACCCATTGGAAATGCGCTGTTGTTGCACTCACTTGTCGGCGGTGCCGATGGTGGTCTCCTTGGCGGTAATCCCGTGGGCGTGTATCCGTCGCTCCCGCTCGCCGTCCGCCAGCGCGTCCGTGGCGATGAAGCTCCTGACGGGGCTCAGCGCGGGGCCCAGCCCGCTCAGGCTGTTGCTGAGGCCCTGCTCGAAGTCCTCCAGGTGGCGGGCGCCGCGCGCCTGCAGGGTCTGCAGCAGGCCGACCAGGGCCACGAGCAGCACGGCCGGCAGGGCGGGGAGGCCGCGTACCGACGGCGAGCTGAGGTACATTATACCTCCGCCGCCACCACGCCACTCCCCCTGTCACTCACTGACACACACACACGCACGCGCGAACTGACTGACGCGGGGACGCACTGCACGACGTCGAGGAGGACGCGATGCTCCGCGTGAACCGGCCGCCGCGTGCGACGCTGTCGCGGAGCTGCGCGCGCAGTGGAGGGTGCGGGCCGACTAGTGGACCGGACCGGGCTGTCCACCGGGCTGGCGGCGTCCTGGCCCTGCTCCCTGCTCGCCTCGGCCGGCTCGGCTCGGCTGGCGTCCTCGAGCTCTTGGGGCCGGCGCGGCTGGCGCGGCGCGGTGGCGCGGCGGCACGGGGGCTCCCAGCCAGAGCGCCGCTTCCCGCGCCTCCCCGCGCTCCCCGCGCCCCGGACGCCGACCAATGGGCGCGCGCGCTGCACCGCCTGATCTTCTGCCGCACCCCGCCCCGCACCCGCCGCCCCGCGCCCGCAGCGCTCTCCGCGGCCACTCCGCGAGGCAGTCTGCCTGGCAGACGTTGGACACGTCGTTTGGCGCAAAGGCCCGCCGAACCGACCGCCCCGCCATGCAACAGGTGGACGCCGACGGCGCGGCATACCTGGGGGAGGAGGGAGGGGGGGGAGGGGGAAGATCCGCGGTGCACCGCGTTCCAGAAGGCGCTGGCGTCAACCGCATGTAGGGCGCAACACCCCGGTAACCACCGCCGCGCGGGGATCGGTTGACCCGCTGTAAAATTGTGTGCACCAGGAGGGCCGGGCCAGAAACCCCGCGGAAAAATTAGAGGTATGAAGTGTGCCTGTATTTGAACCTGTATACGAAATTGGCCTAAGCTAGTAGTGCAGTGTACGCTTCAAAAAATGCGCTTACGCTGCAGTACGCCTACCACTAGATTTCCCCCCTCCACTCGGGGAATACACACACACACACACACACAACGCCGGGGAGGCGCGACACGATAGTACAGTGGGGAGGGGCGGTGGCGAGAGGGAAGACCACGGCAGGCGCGGCAAACTCGGCTTTTAAATTTTGGCATTCATTATGACGACGCGCACCGCACCGCGGGTCAAAGCCCAGATACTGTATGTAGAGTACGTTCAGCGGTCCGGGCGTTTGAGGAAGGCGTGGTGGACGCCGCAGGCGTTGCCTTGTCGCAACAGTGTACTGACAGACTTCCCCCGGCGTGACACAGTGGGTCCGAAGACCGGCGGCCAAAACTCTAGACGCGTTTGCTAAACAGGACTCGAACGAAACGAAACGTATGACTCCACCAATGGATTCCTCGTTCGGAGAGCAATCCATTGGTGGGGTCACACGTTCGGTTCGAGTCCCATTTAGCGACTCTGGAGCTCAAAACGCGTCCGGGATTTCGACCTCCTCCTCCTCCTCCGCGATCTTCTGGCCCACTGTGCGTCGCGTGGCAGGCACGCGTGTTGCGTGAGTCAGGCCGGCTTGCTTATCTCTGCGGCGATTCCTCGAGCTTCTTCGCACTGTGACACTGTGACACCGGCAGGCCGGCAGCGGAGCGCACACTATAAGTGCGCCGCAATCACAACACCGCGACACCGCGTAGAGGGTTCAATGTCAATCCGCGTCACTGTCAGTCCGCACGCCACGCAAGAAGCGAAAAGCGGGCCAGCGGACTCACTCCGAGAGTCATTTTCGTCGCGCCGTCTCTCTCGCACTCGCGGAGTGTCCCATTCTGGTGTGAGAGAGACAGAGCGACGAAGACGCTCGGAATAAGTTTGCCGAGTGTTGCCGCGCCTCGGCCGAAATAGCTCGCCATTTCTTCCGGGCGCGAATCATTAACCCGCGAAGTCGCAAAACCGACCCGGCCTGCCGAGGTGCGTCAGTCTTGCGCGCCGCTTCCACACACAGCCACTCCGTCTCTCTCGCACCTTCAGGGAAGCCCCACGAGTGCGACAGAGACAGAGCGACACTGCCGGGAAGCAGCCTGCTCACTGTTTGTCCGCGACGCTACGAGAATGGCGCCGCGCCGTTTTGGCGGGACGCGGCGAGCACAACAAGGACCGAGTCCTTTTCGTCGCGCTGTCTCTCTCGCACCCTTAGGAGACGCCCCATGAGTGCGAGAGAGACAGAGCGACGACGCCCGGCGTGTCAGTCCTCTTCGCGCGGCGCGGCGGTTCGCGTGGCGCAGGACTGCGTCCGAAGGGGCCGCGGCGCCGCCGAACGGACGCCGCCAGTCGCCTTCGGGGAAATCCAATCAACTTCACGGAACCACGAAACAGTAACCGGTGCACTCGCGGACACGTATGAGAAATTCGAACGCAGTTTGGATTTGCAGTCAACCTGAAGGTAGTGCGCTCGGAATGTCTTGCCTTGTCCCGCGATTAGCCACACTGTACTGTACCAGGACTGCGGTCTAGCCTCTCGAAGCCGAAGGGTTGGAAGGCGGATGGGTTGCCTACCCTCCCGGCTCCCAATGGCCTGCGTGGACTGCCCAGACGCACACCCACGTGTCGCCGCGAGTGACGTCATCGACGTCGTCACGCCACCGTCGCTTTTCCCGTTGCCGTCATTTGCGACGCGCACGTGGCAAAAACCAAGAGAGGGGGGGGGGCGAATGACGGCAAAGAAAACGGAGGGGACGAGGCGACGCATGCAAATCACGTGCGAGGAGGGCTTGAATTTTGCAGCGGTGTGGCACTAGAAGATAGAGGAGGAGGAGGAGGAGGAGGACGACGACGAGAAAGAGAAGGATGAGGAGGAAGAAGAGGAGGAGGTGCATGATGAGAAGGAAAAGGACGACGACGTGGAGAGGACCGACGACCAAGATGACCACGAAGACTTCGAAGAAGAAGAAGAAGAAGAAGAAGAAGAAGAAGAAGAAGTGGTGCCTCCCGAAGTACTCGACGACGTCCGTCGTGGGTCATTTGTTTGTCTGCGCGGCGAGATGGCCCCGGCCACGCCACGGCGCCGCCGAACTGGAGCTGTCGAGACGTTCCCAGAACAATCAAGGGCCCATCGGCAGTGCTGCCAACCTTGCAGGGGACCGTCTGTAAATATCGCCAAGTTGGTGAAGAATCGGTAGAATCGGGTAAAACTAAGGCAAATAGAACAAAATTCCCCCAACAAATGTCCCGTCTTTAAACGCCTTTACCTCTTAAAAGTTCATCGTTTTTAACGACACGTATGGAACAGTTACTCTGTAAATTTGGTTTCCCAACTTGAATGTCTTATGGAAAACATTCCTACCGCTCAACGTTCACGAGATACGCGTATATTTAAGTCATACTGTTACCTTAGAATTTCACTTTGTCAAGTTGGCACTATAGAGGGCCCACTGTGGCAACATTTTCCGGAGCCTTTCATCAATATTCTCCGTAGGACTTTCAGTGTTTTCCGCATGCCCGTTGCAGACCAACCAATGAGGTGCTCGGAGAAGACTGATTCTCACGGAGAATATTGACAAGGAAGGTGCGGAAAATTTTGAATGCTGGGCACGGAGAATCATCATAAGTTGTCCACAGATTTCTCCGTAACTTTTTGCCTCAGTGTCTTCGCGGCTTACAAACAGTCCCCCCGGGATGAGACTGTCGCGCTTTACTTATGTCACTCGGCGCCGCGATGGGACGCGGTGCGGTTATTCCGCCCGTTGCGACGCTTTCCGTTTTTACGGCGCTCTTATGGCGTGTCCGAGATGAAGCCGTGGCCTCGTAAAGTCGGTAAGGACGCCGTCGCGTGGCGCTGCGAGTCACTGCGAGTCCCGTCGCGGCGAGACTGCGGTATCAATGGTCCTCATTCCCGCCCTCATTCCCACATTTTTGTTTCGCGTTTTGTTTTTGTTTTTAGTTCGTTGCTTTTTTGGGGATGGACGAATCAGTTTGCTTCCGCCACGAGGCGCCAAACTTGAGTCAGCCGAGCCCCCGCGTCTGTTTGAACGGCTTGGTGGCGCGCAGAGCGGCAACTTTGAAAAAACCGGAAGCAAAAAGTGAGTGCGTGCGTGTGCGGGTGGGTAAATAGATCCCGCTTCGCATCCATCCACTGTTGCTGTGTGTTGTTGGTCCTTTTCGACAAAAACGTTGGCTGTTCGACGAAATGACTGCCACATTTGACAAGAGACAGGCGTACGTACTTTCAAGTGGGCGTGGGTGGAGGATATAGAACTCTATTGGAAATCAAGCAGGTCATGTATTTTGCTTCGAACAGTTTTGCTAAGCATCCTACTGAATCAATCGTCACTGGAGTTGGAGGTTTCAGTCGCCGGTCCCGGGGCCGTCGCGGGCGCTCCCTACTCGGCTCGGCTCCACACTCGTGGTAGAAATGTAGCAGAAATAATGAAAGGACAGAGGACGGAAAGGTTAGGTCGCGGCGCCGTGCCAAGATGTGTGTGAGGCTATCGGCCATCACGGACCATTGCCCCGGACGCCCGGACGCCCAGGACGCGAGGCGCCCGAAGAAAGCCCACCGGACACCCCTTGTTGTATTTACTAACATATCGCCCCGTCCTGTGGCCTCCCGCGCCAAAACACCGTTCTGTTTTGACGCTCCGGCAGGCCGATTCTGGACCGCGCTTCGTCGCGCTGTCTCACTCGCACGCCAGCGGGACGCCACGTGAGTGCGAGGGAGACAGCGCGACGGGCGCTGCGGTGCGATGGCTTCTTTTCCTCGCATAAGTCACTGTGCCCGGAACTAGTCACGCACGCGACCTGATAGCCAGCGTAAAATAGCGGATCGCGGAGCTCGTCGCCAAGATCGTGTCGCCGCCCGCCAGGGGCGAATGCTGCGCCCGCGAGTTAGGCAGACGCCTCCACGGCGTGTGCGTTGGGTTGCCTGCCCGCCAGGCGCGGGCCGCCCGAGATCCACACTTCGAGCTCGGACCGGTAGCGGCGTGGCGGCGCTGGCGGCGGGCCTGGGGCCGGTGCTGCAGTTGCTGCTGCAGTGGGTGCTGCAGTGGGTGTTGCGGGTACAGTCGGCGGCGGGGAACACGCACTTGGCGGCTTTGGTGACTGGTCCGGAACCATACATTTCTGCAAAACAGTTTTTCAAATGTGAAACAAGAGCAATGAGAGTCTCTCCTGAACTGTGGACTGGGCTCGTTAGTTCTTACCCACGACCACTTTTGACCAGTACAAAAGTACACGTCTAAAACACCACTGACCTCGAATCGGACTTCCTCGACGAACCTCTTCCACGTTGAGTCCTTCCTACGAAGGACAGTGCTTCCGTAGCCGGTTGGGACGCAGCGGGGCTGCAGATGAAACTCCGATTTGTATCTGAAAAAGTTATTAGCACTTGAGACCAACAGTGACGTGAAGAGAGTGCCCCTGAACGCAGCCGGAGGCAATCACGTTCTTCCATAGACATCATTAAAACCATATAATTCAAGAAAACTATTTAAATCAATAAAATGTACCACCCAAGGAACATGACAAGTCAAAACAAAGTCCAAATTAAGTCTGATGTCACATAATTGGCACAATTAAAGGCCTCAATACTCTCCAAAAAAACCTGAAGCTCTTTGTTCCTCACCTGTGTTGCGGGGATGGGGGTCCGCTGTCCTCCCACTCCAAGTGCAGGCACGATTCAACCGACATGGTCCTGGACGAAATGGGGCGCTGATGCTGCCACCTGTCAACCGAGCAGGAAACTGCCAATCAGTGATTTGGCTGCTTTGATCCCCGGTGTGTTGCAGCCCATGGTACTTGGCAGCTATTTATACGAAGAAGGTTTGCCGATAAGATAGAGCTCGTAAGTTTCACTGAACGTCCTGTTCTGCCTGGGAATAGAGGGAGGGCGGTGGTGCGTGGCAGGAGGGGACGGGCGTTGTCGCGGTGTCGTGACAACCCCGGTCTCTCGAAACAGCGCCATTCCAGGGGATTTGGACGTGTCCCGAACTAACTGTCCCAGTCACGGCCAGCGAGGGACCTTGAAGCGGAACGGCCGATAAGTGAGCGGTACTCGAGACACCTGGCTGAGGCACTGTAGACACTTTCCTTGCCGCCCGATAGTAACGCCGGCAATAGACACGTTTGGCCGATTCCAAGCAATGTCGAAGAAAACCGCGAAAGAGAATGCTTACTTGTTTGGTTATTTAGGTACGGTTCGGATCAAACACGGGCCGTCTAAAGCGTCTAAAGGATTGCCAGCATCAAGCTTCTTAGTTTATATCAGGGCTTGCCTTAGCAAAGTTGCATCAGTAGGCATTAGTCACTGTCCACGCCTTGGTTGTGGGCAGTGTAAATGTTTTCGCAAATAGTTCTGGACAGAAATGATGTCACTATAAAGTCGATGATGTTGTCACGCCTAGTTGATGACAATAATGTCGTCAGACATCTAGTTGAGAATGTTGTCTGACTCGCATACATCACCAATTTTTTGGTGAAGGCATCAATTTATGATGGAATAATCGTGCATCAATAATTTTGTCATTGACAACACTCCTTTCTAGTGCACCTGCAGTCTACAAGCTCTCTCTCTCACTCACCGACAGGGAACGGAACGGGTCTCCGCGACGAAGCAGTGCGTTGCCAGAGCAGCAGCAGAGTGTGGAGTGTGCAACAAGCTTGCCTTTATACGTTTCCGCTCGGGCCGCGCGATGAGCGATACTGAACACCAGCTATGACGTGTCTGGGTCCTCGGCCGGCGGGGTTCTTGCCTTTCGGCCTTATCTCCGTCCGCTATATTTTCGCCCGATCAAAGGACTTTTTACTGTGACGTGCGTGGGCGAGGTGGGCGTGGTGGGATCAGCGAGGAGTGACGCGAATAACGGCTGTCCATAGGTTGATAGTGATTGTCTTTTCTCTTACGCGTGGTGTCAGCGGATCTCTCGCATTGTTTCGGACACACGATTGAATTTTCTATTCGCGTCAGGTTTTGAGAGGTGCAGGACTTCTTCGAGTTCCCTATCTCTCGTACGTCCTCACCCACCCACTGTTGCAGGTGCAGCCGGAGACCCCGCTCCTGCTTCTGCCGCGGTAGTACGTGGCGCCGCTCTGCGACGGCGTCCTGGACCTCTCGAACTTGGTGCCGCCGTTGTGCTGCGGGCCCTGCAGGGGCGGAGGCCGCGCGCGCTCGAACCTGGCGCCGACGGCTACCCAGCCCTGCTGCGGCTGCTGCACTGGTTGCGGCGGCCGCCCGGACCCCGTCGGCGTGGTGTCGAAGGGCCTCGGCAGCGAGTACGAGTGGCCGTAGCCGGTGCCCACCGAGGGACGCGCCCCCGCGCGGGACCCTGGACGGGACCCTGGACGGGACCCTGGACGGGACCATGGCGGTTCGCAGTGGGCCACGGGGGAGCGGGACGAGGTGCGGAGTAGCGCTAGTCGGGCCAGCTCCTCGGGCGTCCGACGGCTCCAGTGCGTCGCCCGGGGGCGGCTCGCGCGCTCACTGCTGTCAAAACACGAAAATGAAGGTCAGAGGATGTTGAGACTGTAAGCTTAGCTCACTGGAATTATTGCTACGATGATTTGCTTTCACAGAAAAGTTTTAGCCCTGTTCCGCTTAATAGATCGGCTTAGCATTTAGCCAGGTCAAAGTTCGTCCGATTCTCAACAACCACTGTGCGCACGCTTACAAGCACTGTCTTGCGCACTGTAAGAAATTTGTCAGCCTCTGCGGAGGGTTAGTTCCCCGTGGACGTCAATCGATCAGTTAGTAGTTTAGCCTTTTTACCTGGTAGTGCTCCCCGCGACACTGTCGTTGTGGTAGAGGTCAAGATGTGGTTCTGAGAGCGACCGAAGCTCTTCCGTCAGCGGTGAAAATCCCGCCTGCCGGCGCGAGAGACAGATTTAGCAAAGTGAAAAGAACACCCCCACAAAGAGCTCCTTCTCGAACCAAGATGATAAACTTGCATCCAGTGAAATTCCTTGTACGTTACAAGTAAATTCACTTCTTCACTTATGAATTCACCTGTACGTTTCAGGTAAACTCTCTTGTTATCACTTATGAATTTACTCAGATGTTTTAAGTTATTTTGCAAGTGGTTTTGGTTCGAGAAACGACTCTTTTTGATGCAATATAACGTTTAAATGTTTGCCTTGCAGGTGAAACGTACGTGGCTCATGGACGTGGGCGTGGTCGGCCTGCTCAAGGAGAAGGCCGTCGTCGGCGTGGCGGACAGGCTGCGTCCTGGAAACGAGCACGGCGTGGTCATGACGGCGGTGAGGGAAGGGGGAAGATCGCTGTTGATTGCGGTTATTTCGAGAAGCAATTTCAAAACGCCACTTTTTATCTGCATCATGGTAATTTTCACTTGTTTTACAAGCGCCTCTTACCATCTTCATGCTCTACATCAACCCAAATTCTCGAAAGAACCAAAGTGTTGCTCCATGATAGTTTTGTGTCGAAGTGCACCCCCAGTTCTCGGTGTGCATAACATTACTGAAATGTTGGCAAGTTCACCTGTTCTGTTGTTGTGCTGCTTAGGTTGGTACCGATGGGCGCACCCGCAGGTCCGCAGCGCCGAGGAGGCCAAGTCCGTGTCCCTCATGGTGGCGTTGGCGTGGCGGTGGCGCTACCCCCGGCGCGGGGCGGGCTTCCCCCGGCGGGGAGTATCGCCGCGGTGCGGGGTAGCGGCGACGCAGAGAGGGCGCCACCACCCAAGGAGGGGCTGCAATCATCACCAGGGCGAGTCTCAGTCTTCCGTGGAGTCGAGGAGCAACTGATTCCCACATTCGTAGTATGCAAATTATGCGAAATTATGGACACTTTCTACCCTACATCCAGGCGGCAAAACCGTCGACGAAATGTGTTGCAAATACAGGAGAAGCACTACCGCAATCATTGCATGTAAAATAGCACCACTCGTCATCACTCGGTCCGATTGCATCTTCTTTCTGACTCTCTGACTCTCGTCGTACGCTGACTAGGATAATTTAGCACGTATGCGTAGCGCACGCTGACCTGCTGAAAACCCTTCTTCTCTACTTGCCTGTCGCGCCTGACCCGCGGACGTCGCTTACACTTCTTGAACAGCCTCGCACTTGCACTAATTGCATTGCCTTGCACTTGCACTGCCTTGAACTTGCACTGCCTTGCACTTGCACAGCCTTGCGCTTGCGCCGGTCCAGCGGCCCTGCCGGACGGGACGGGGCGCCGAGTTGCACTGCGCCTGCATGCGGTGGCGTTTGAATGGACTACGGATGACCGGATGTGGAGAGGAGCGGAGGAGGGGGAGGAGGGGGGAGGGGGACCACGTGATGACAATATGAACCGGCGCCAGTATGACCGCACAGGGCAGCCAACAACTGCACAGGTGGACTGGGCCCCCTCCACGTGACGTGTGCTTTGGTCGACACACTGGTGACTACCGGCCTGGAACCCCTCCCCCTCCCCTCCTCCCCGCCTCTCCGACGAGGTTGACACATGGCCGTGATTCTGACCAGACTGCCCTTTACCGCCCCGCTGCAGACAGATTCCGAGAGTCTCGCTCTGTCTCTGTCGCACTCACGGGCTGCCCCGTATGGGTGCGAGAGAGACGGAGCGACGAAAACGACTCTCAGTCTGCTGCAGACACTGCAGACGGCGTCCGAGCGGAACGGGAACGGCCAGCCCCAACGATTCGGCGCCATTTATAGCCGGACAGATTGCAACCATGAGCAGGGCACTTCCAGTGGTGTGGGCGGGGCGGTCAGTCCGCGTCTTGAGCGTCGCGCGCGTGAAATGATGCACTCGAATCGACCTCTCGGTGATACCAATGGGTTGTTAAGATTGGTGTCTTCATGAGTTTGATTCGAGCCTCCATTGAGTGATTGTCTGTCTTCACAGGGAATCCCACTGGTGGCGATGCATCGACTGAACCAGATTTGTGTTGCATTTTTAATCTGCTGCTCGCGGTGCGCATCCATCCACGTCCACCCGCCACGGTCTTCCCCATCTTGCCCGCCGCTCGCCGCCTCAAAAGTTTACTTTTGCCTTTCCCTGTCGGCCAGCTCAATTTTTCACCTCTTTTTGGCCTGCGACCGGCAGAGCGGCGGACGGACAGGCCGGGCCGGCATCATGCCAGAGGTTGCCGCCAGGCCGCCAGGCCAGCCAGCTACAGCCAGCCGCCCCCGGACAGTGGCGCGGTTTTTCCGGGGGGACCCTGATAAGATTGTGCCACATGGCCGCCCCGAAGGATGGCAGGCTTTTAAAAAATTTACCTCCTTGCCCGGCGCGCCGGCGTGCCCCAGTCCTCGCTGCAAGTAGGGGGTGGAGCGCCGTGCTAGTAGGCAACCCCTCCGGCAGCGCTGGTGCTTCCCTCTCGCACTCATGGGGTGCTCCGGAGGGGTGTGCGGGACACAGAGCGACAAAGCAGTGTTCGGACTCAGTCTGGGGGCTTGTCTCCTCTGGGGCCAGTGCCCCGGGTTCGCCGCTTCGTCGTCGGGGGCCCCGCCCGGCTCCGGGCATGGCCAAGGAGACCGAGGGCATGGCCTACCCTGAGCCTCTGCGGCCGCTGCAGCGCCACGCGACGCCAGGCCGACTTTTTATTGTGGCTCAAACGCGCGTCTCGTGAAACTCGGAACGTTGTTAACATTGCACGAGCCCCGCCCCATCTCCCTCTGTTTTCTCATCCCTTTTCCCTGCCACTCCCCCTACCCCCAAAAAAGGATGTATAATCAGAGGACTCTGGAAGATATCTCATATTTTAGTGGTTATTTTGGACATCCACAGCACAAGTGTGTCTCATCCCGAAGTCAACCTGAGGGCACCCCGAAGTCACCCCGCTCAACTGCTCTCCCCGAAGGCACTCCGAAGACACCCCGAAGTGGCCCCGAAATAAGGCGCCCGAGGGTGGGGGGCAGGGTGGCCTAGAGGCAGCCGGCCCTGTCCACTTTGTGTCCAGCACGTCCCAGGTGGGATCACATCCCGCGAGTAATTACCGGTCGAAGGGGGCAGGAAGGGTGCACCGAGGGGCGGAACAAGGAGGAGGGGCAAAATTGGAAGGGAAGGAATGGCGACGGTAACTACGCCGTTACGCGGGGATGAGAGGAGGATCACCTCTTTCATCGGCCAAGTCCTCCTGATATTGAATCCCGGCGTTATGTCCACTCGTAGCCGCGG